CCCCCCTACAATTCGGCAAACACCCAACCACATACTCCGGATTCCCGCTAAAGAACACAGGAATACTATATCTCTCCTGCCCACTCACATTGATAACACGATGCAAATTACTCACATACCGGTCGTTACTCCACCGCATCATCAGATTACCTAGGTTGATGACGAAGGCACCGGGTGTGGGGGTTACATCGAGCCATTCGCGTGTAGAGTGGTCGTAGACTTGCAGCCCGGAGACGGTGTCTTGGAGGAGGATGGTTATGCAGCCGAAATCTGTGTGTGCGCCTATGCCGCGGGTGAGGTGCGTGGGGCTGGAGGGGGGTTGGGGCGGGTAGTGGAGGAGGCGCATTGTTGCTACTGCGCCGGTGGCGAAGGCGTCGAAGTAGGCTTCTTCTAGATCCAGTGTCAAGGCGAGGACTTTCAAGATGTCTTTTGCGAGGGCGACGACGCGGGCGTAGTATTCCAAGGACGTGGCTTTGAAGTCTTGGACGTTTGGTAGGGAGGCGGCGGAGGGCCACATGTTGGGGCCTGAGTTGAGCTTCTTGTTGATGAAGTAGGGGTGCGTTTTGGGGATTTCGTCGCCGATGTAGAAACCTTCTTTTAGTTCGGGGGAGGTGCCGGCTTCGAGGATTTGAGATTTGAGGAGCTCGTAGCCTCGGTTCCAGGTGTTGGTTGTGTCTAGATGGAGGTGTGGATGAGTTGATGTGTCTAGAGATCATCATTTGGTGGTACTATTAAACGTACCTTTGTTAACCTTATTCTTCTCTTCCAGTGGTAGATCGAAGAACTTCTTATTCCAATCCATCATCCTGTTCTGCAGCTCGATTGGTACATTGTGACCCGTGATCTGGAAGAAGCCATTGTGGAGGCAGCAGTTTCGCACTTCGTCTACGAGCTGTTTCTTGGATGCTGGGTCGTTTTGGTAGAACTCTAGTCTTCGTTAGCAAGGTTTCCATTGCTCCGTCTGGCGGGTCAACGTACTTGAGAAGTCTAGGATGGGAGGCGCTTCACCGGCGTTTGGCATGATGGGCTTTCTCGGTCAAGTTAAGCGTGGTATCAAGGTAAAGAGGTTGATTGAAGTGACCAAGTGGTTGGAAAGTGATGTTACCTAGGTACCTGTTCACGTTGGGTGTGGTTTCTAGAAAACAGCAGCGAGCTATCGAGACGTGTCGCCTTCAATTATACCACGATTGATCATTACTTCCGCTTTCCGTCATTGCCATATCCCAGTATGTCGGTTACCCCTCAAAAGTGTTGCGCTATCGATAACAGCGTTATGTTGTCGAAGATGGGGCAAGTGGGATTGCGAAGCCCTTCACCCCACTCTTGCTGTGAGCTTGTGATTGGCCATGCGACGCATCATCTACGGGACGCATCATGCAACCCAAGGTGTACTCTACAAACATCAGGATATAGTATTGACTACAGGCTTCCAGGACCCACGTCCTCTCCACCATCGAATTAACAGTATCGCGGTCCTTGCTTACCCGTGTCTCAAGCCTCATCATCTTCATCCAGTACGTCACCGAGCTCAAAGTCTTGTTGAGCCAATGTGTATATGCCTTCATCCAGGTCCTCAAAGTCCATACTTGCCTCGGTCTGATCGCTCTCATCATTCGCGTATGCGGTGGCAAGCCTCTGATCGGGATAAAGCACCTGCCAGTCACCGACAATAGACCTGGCTTCCTCTTTGTGTCCATCATGATGAATGCCGTCTCGGAGCAGAGCGAACATCCTCCTCGCGATCATATACTCCGGTTCGTAGGCGTACCGCTTCCACTCAGTACTCGCCTCTTTGTCCCACAAGCTCTTCAATCGCCGGTACTCGGCATCTTCTGGCATGTCTGCAGCTATCATTTCATCGTACCATTGACCGCCTGATACCCATAGCCAGAACGGAGCACGATAAGCGACGAATTTGGGGCAGAAGTATACGAACTGAGCATCCCAGTCGAGTAGTCCGGTGAGTGAGAGCCTGGACTCATTTTCAATCTCTACGAGCATGTTTCGCGGATAGAGGTCGAGATGGCAGAAGTAAAACTTGTCATCGTCTGGGATGAAGCCGTTGTCGTATAGTGCCTGTGTGATGATATCGAAGCAATACCAAGGAGCTTTGTCGCCGTCGTCACGGTCTTCCTCTAGTATCTTCCATCTATAGCTCTGATGTATCAAGAACTGACGTGTAGTCATAGCCTCAGCAGGGCGGTCCGCGGGCCCCGAGAATGCTGATACCTGGTCTTGACTGGTCTTGAAGGCTTGGATTTCTGGGATCACCTTATTGGGAGGATATGGTAGTCTTGTTAGACTGGCGATGTTACCTGCCTTGGGTTCCTGAATAGTATGTAATTTCTCCATGACATGGACAACGATGTGCATAGCGTTTATCTTTTGGCTGATCGTAAGTTCAGGCCATATCTTGTTGAGATTTTGGCCGGACAAACGGCTCTGAATGGTATATGTCCGTGACAGAGGATTATGCGGGTGCTCATCTAGATGTATGACGTGAGGTACGATAATGCCGAAATTCGCGCACGCGAACACCAGGGTAGCCACATCATACCTCATGTCCAAGTTATTGCCTGAAGACTCCTTTCGTGCGGTCCTGAGTATGTAGTGCTTTGGCTGGTAAGCTTTGACGTAATCTTCGTTACTGGTCAGGATCGAACGGATCCAAGAGACGCTAAAAGCGCGGGGAGGTAAAGGCGTGACAGTGATAGCGGTGATTCGATTATAACCTCCACCGCGCAGATGCTCGATTCGCCAGGTTGCTCTGGGAAATTGAGTGGCGCAAAGCTCCGCGACTCTTGTACTGAAAAATTCGAAGGACTCTTGACCATAGGCCACAGTAGATGTCTGAGATACACTAGAGCAGTCTTCGTCTTCAAAATCCTCGCTACGCTCTTCGTGCTGAGCCCTGACGAGGAGGTATCTGCGTATGTCCGTCGCTTTGAACCTGGAATTGGGCATGGAAGCTGTAGGAGTGTACGCGTCTGGGAACAGTGTCGGAATGTGTGCAAGCAACTAGATGAGTGGTAGAACGCCCTTTACAATTTACAAAGGTGACATTTGTGCGACATTGCGACGTTCCCAAGGGAATATTTGCAGGTGTTTGCAGGGTACGAGCGTTTGCACGTACCAGAAGCTCCATAAGAAGCGGGCCGAAGAGCTCAGACGCTTGACATGAAAGCGAAGGAAGAGTGAGGACATCATGTCGAAGGAGAATGCAGTTCACGAACCCTAGAGAATAGGAAAGCTGATACAAGACAGAAGATTCTTGAACCCACCGCCGTTGCCAGACGTCACCAGAATATCGTGATACGCGACGGTGCCGGATGTTGGCTATGAGAAACCATTGTCGACATGTCTGCGTATGATTCAACGACCTTGAGTATGGGGAGCAAGAACATGGTAGAAAGGGACAACAATGCGACGCGATGAGTAGACTCAATGGAATGCTGGGTGTTGAGACGCGACAGATGACGGAAGTCATTCCGTCATCGCCTCTTGTCTGATTGGCCAACGGAAGCTCCTCCATCCGTCAACCGCCCCACCTTCGCATTAGTGTTGCTTGGTCATGCTCGACATAAGCAGCGCATTCTCCGCCAAGCCTCAGGTTAACACGCGCCGGATTGTTAAACCTTTACCAACCAAGCAAGCTCACGATGGCACCCACACCAGTCCGCTCCGAAGCCTCCCTCGAACATTCTCGTCACCCTAGTCGCGTTTTGCATAAAGCGCCCCCGCCCGACCCATGAAGACGCTTTCCTCCCTCTTCATCGCCATCATCGCAATTGCACTTGCAGTATACAACAACGAGTACATGCTCTCGAGACTTACACAGTCACTGAGACACGTCACATCCCTCGCAAAGACTACCAAGCCCTTCTACAACGCCACCGAAGATATGTCGACCATGTTCCGCGGACTGCCCGTCATCCCCGACGAGAAGTTCACCACCGATGCGCCCCGCAAGATCGCAAAGTCCTTCCTTGCTGTCGAGCAATCTGAAGGCGCCGGAGCGAAAGTGAGGAGGAGTGTTGGCACCCCCAAACTGCGCAACTTCTCTCCCTTCCTCATGCTCGACCACTTTGCCATTCCACCAGGCGCAGGCTTCCCAGACCACCCACACCGAGGTACGTGATAGCGCAGACCAAGTACGTTGATTGTTAGACTAACTCTTTATCTAGGCCAAGAAACCATCACATACCTCCTCTCCGGCGCCGTCGACCACGAAGACTTCGCCGGAAACAAGGGCACCATCGAGCAGGGCGACCTACAATTCATGACTGCCGGTCGCGGCATCGTCCACGCCGAGATGCCGCGCCAAAACGAGGACGGCGCGCCCAACGTCGGAATGCAACTCTGGGTCGATCTGCCCAAAGAGCTGAAGTCATGCGAACCCCGCTACCGCGATCTGCGAGCGAAGGAGATCCCCGAGACAACCGCCGACGACGGCAAGGTGCACGTTAAGGTCATCAGTGGACAAGCGTACGGCACCGAGAGTCTGAAGGAACTGGCATACACACCCGTCTGGCTGCTCGACTTCACAGTCCAGCCCGGTGGCAAAGTCAAGCAGCCCCTGCCCAAGGGCTGGAACGCCTTCGCATACCTCCTCAACGGCACCACCATCTTCTCCTCCGACGGCGTATCGCGACCCATCGAACAATACCACAACGTCGTCTTCGAGAGCAACGGCGACAGCATCGAAGCGTCCGTGGAGGAAGGCGCCGACAAGCCATCACGGTTCATTCTTGTCGCTGGGCTGCCGCTTGATCAGCCCATCGTACAATACGGGCCTTTTGTGGTCACGTCAAGAGACGAGGTCATGCAGGCTATGATGGACTACCAGAGCCATTCGAATGGTTTCGAGAGGGCGAACAACTGGGAAAGTGAGATTGGAAAGAGCATGGTACATTAAGTTGCTTAATGCTGGTAACGATTTCTCTTTCAACCCCTTCTTCTGTACATATCAAATCACGATACCTTTATTCCTAGTCTCACAGCATTTTCCACTACCCTATTTGCCGTCTCATTCCCTTTTTCTACGAACATCCGTTCTGCTGTCAGTTGCCCAGGAACAACATCACGCTCAGCAAACGTTGTCTCATGATATGTCTCGTGGGTTCTACAATTGTCTCGCCGGTGCCCTCACAGGCCTACAAATATCTCATGAAACTCAACTCTCATCCGTCTTCTCCAAAAACTACACCAGAACTCTACATACACCGATCTTTCTTCTACGCAATCGACTGCACTCCAATGGCCGACCCATCCACTACCCAAGCTCCACCAAGCACGCCACTTTGTTCAATGTGCCCTCAGTCCAGGACGATAATCTGTACCGTATGCAACTGTAGCCTGTACTGTTCGGAAGATTGCCGTGAGACCGACCGGCCAATACATCAGCGTCTATGCAGTTCGTTCAGAGATTTCGGCGTAGCGTCCGCACCTCTTCTAGGGCTCACGCGCGCGATTGTGTTTCCAGAAGATAGAACCAAGCCCCGCTTTGTCTGGGTAGTCCTTGCCAAGTCCGCAAGACCCAACGCTCCGGATAATATGTATGACGTCCTCATATTTCACCCTTCAGGCCCTCCACCTGCCAATGGACCATCACTACACTTCCCTAGTCTGACCAGGAATGAGGTTCTAGAGCGCGTGCATAACCCTATCAACTTGGCGGGAGTTTGCACCCCGGATGCGACCGCTGAGTTGAGGATTGACGAGGAGTCAGGCTGGAGCCAGTGGACACTTGGCCCAGAGATGATGGCCGTCTATAAGGGGCCGTTGATCTGCTTTGGTCTTGGTTATCACCTCGATATGATGTCGTTTCGACACATCATGCATGCTTTGGGTCAGTAGTTGTATGCTGCTGCCATCATGGAGAATAGTTCGTAGTCAACTATACAATACAACAATCTGCAAACGAAATGTACTTTAGATGGCTACGATGTTCATCATTCCTGACCGCGATCATAAACTGACACACCCATTCGAGCTGTCCTCCACGAAGATGCCACCGTAGATCTGCCCTTCACCACGGAGAGGAATGTGCTCTTGGTACCCATCGTACACCACCGTCTCAGTCTCCGTAGGCTTCTTCGCAATACCAATCTGTAACTGCCCACCACCAGCATTGCTATTAGGTGTAGCCCTGGTAACCGCCTTCAGCGGCTCATCGCCCGTAGAGTAATAAACCTTGATCGTACTAGTCACCTCGTCAGCATGCACCTCCTTTCACATCCCAAAACACGCAAAACACTTACTCCCTAACATAATCCAACTGCACCCCAAAATTCTGCCAGTCCCCCCTCACTATTCTCGTCTCATACACAAACTCATTCTTCGCATTCTGCACCTTCCACATCTCCCTCTCTTTCTTCGTATCCACACCCGTCCCGCCATCACCGACCAACACAACGCCCCCCACAAACATGAATTGGTTACCGCTGTAATCACCCTTCTCATGCCACACATTCATATACTCATGGCTCAGATTCAGCGGCCTGTGTTCATCCTGCCGGATACTCCAATGGAATGTCACTACGCCGTTATCCGACGCATCGGCACCGGCGTCGTTAAAATCGTCTTTGAACAAGAGGCCTGCGCGCCGGAACCCCGTTTGGAGGTTTTCGCCTGCGCGGAACAAAGATCCGTCGTCGATTGTTACTTCGACTGGTTTGTGCAGGAGGGCGTTGTCGAAGCGGGATGGAGGTGTGGTCTTGGGGAAGAGGAGAATGGAGGACCAGGTGCGGTTTTCGCCTTTTACGTAGTCGGGGTTGTAGGGCGTGCCGCCGGTGGCTGTGTCGAAGGATTGGAGGGTTAGGTTTTTGGTGATGCGGCCGTCGAAGATTATGGGGCATTTGATGTTAGTTTTTGGGGCGTGAGGGTGTGGGTGAGAAGGCGGAGGTGGAGGTGGAGGTGGGTGCAACGGTGTCGCAAGGGCGAGGCCCAGGAAGGGGAGTATGGAGAGGAGATGCATCTTGGTATGATGTTCCTAAGACACTGCCAATGCTCACGATGCACATCAGTATATTTTATATGTATCATGGCAGATACGCGCTAGTGAGGCCTATGCATATTGGCTAATTAAGTAGAGCGGCAGAACACTATGGGCGAAGTTCTAGTGCAGCCACATTTACCGGAACACCATTCGCACCAGGCCGACGGACCTGGACGCCGGACTCTTTTGCATCCTGCAGCGACAAACATCTTACTTCTCGAAAACACTAGTTTTGCTTCTAGACGCGATCTGGAAGCTTCGTGCCCAGGTGACGCGATGAACGCATTAGAGTACTAGACCGCATACGGTGAAGGGACATCCCCATACTTCTTTCGCCCTTCTCCTTCCATCCAATTCGTCCAAAACCGCTCAAAATCCTCTTTGGAAGATTTCTGAAGTAATAGGTCGTTGTGCATCTCGAAAGCCTCGTCGAACTTGAAAGCTAAGTTCCATGACTCCTTGCTGTCCAGGATCTCTTGAACTTGTTCACTGCCGATGGAGTATAGATATGCCATCAGAGCCGCAATGTGAGCAACAAGCAATGGCTTCTTGTCTTTTCTCGAGACATACACACTACCCAGGCTGGCTGACCACTCAGAAGGGTTGAGCTGTGCGAAGCCGAAGTTCCAGGCATGGTGCAAGCCTTTGTAACCGCCGCTCCGATTTCTCCAGGGCAGTGCCGGAGGTATACTGCGAGCGAAAAGATCGATACCGAGTTTGGACGTGATCCACATGAGTAGATTCTCGTCTTTTTCGTAGAAGCCGTCCGTGACTTTGCAAGCCTCAAGTGATGGGCGATCACTACTTAATCGATCGCCGATGCAGTTGATGCGGACACCAGGGATGCAGCCTTTCCTTCTGTCTCCAAGGTGGCGCAGTGATTTGTCGTACTCCATGTACATCATGTCGATGATGTGCCGGAAACTTGTCATGTCCAGATGTGCGCGATGGCCGACGAAGAGTATACTGCCTTTGCAGCATCCTAGCAGCTCGGGCGCAATATTTCCCATGCTCTTGTTTGGAACGCCAGTCAGGCATAGTTGATCAGGTAAAGCTGGGCAGACTTCAAGGCAGCCAAGCATGTGGATAGTGTCGTGCGAGCGTTTCAGAACGCAGTTGTAAGATGAGTTTCCGCAGCTGACTAGTCCCGTGCTCTGATCATCTGGCATTAGATAGTATTGCAGAGCAAAGCCCTCATCGCTGGGCTGGGACGTCATCCTCACCCATACCCATTCGGGCGCGGTCTTTCTGGCGTTGAAGAAGATGGCCTTGAACAGTCCAGGTCCAGGAGGGATGTGATTCTTGTCATTTCGATAAGCCTTGCAGAGCAGCATATGAACGGATTTGTCGTCCTGCAGACATTCTGTCGAGCAATAATAGCTGCATTTGCATGTCGTGCACATGCATGTAGCTTTGCGGTGGCACATGCAGCAGAGGCGAGCAGGTGGTCTCGAGACTTCATTCATGATGACGTCGATGGTGTGATATCGACAAAGCCTACAATCGAGATAAGAATGAAGGATGAAGTGCTAGGAATGCTGGGACAAAGGTATTAATCTCCTCTGAGAACGGAAGAGAGAGTGCGCGAACATGCGCCTAGCACCCACCAAGTGCTTTGACAATGCAAACATTCATATGGGAAAAGCCTCATTCAGCGAGACGTTGCAGTGACCCTGCGGATGTGAAAGTATTGAAGCCGCAGGCAGTGCAGACGGCACTTTTCATATAATCATAGCCGGTAGAGGTTGGTCATTTTCCTCTTCACTTTTCCGGGTTGAGGTTGTTGCTCGTCGACGCCCCAGAATTTGAGGAAGGTGATTGGTCTCCAGGTCCACTGCGCTTCGTCGTTCAGAGCATTGTCCAGAATCCACGTGATGACGGCGGTAAATGCGACAACCCCGATGGCGCTGACCCAATAGACCCAGAATTCACTTCGGTTCTGAGACCGCGCATGAGATGTTAGAAACTGTTCACTAACAATATGTTCATGGTGTTCTTACCGGTGCGTAGTTGTCTTGCATACTGAACAAGCTGCTCGTATATGCCAAGGGAATGAACAACAGGGCGAGAAGGTTGAGTCGCTTGACGCGTTTGGCCTCTTCCAAGTTCTGGCGGTTACCTGCGATCGATGCCAGTCCGGTCATAGCCTGGATTAGATTATCGGCGCGTTCTTTGAGGATCTTGAGACGGAAGTAGACGTATTGGAAGTCCTTCTCGCAGTCTTTCCACGTGTGCGAATGCAACCTGACGGACTTGTTGATCTGCCCATCTAGCGAATAGTCGAGACTGAGTAATGCATCTTCGAGATCGTCGCGATAGTTGCCGCACCGTCGCGAGATAGTCTGCAAGCTTTTCCATTGACCCTGTTCCTCAACCCAAGCAGTAGTAAGCCGAAGCTCCAGCGAAGGTAGCATGGCCTTGATGTAGTCAACAAGCTGAAGGTAGTGCGCGGCGACTACCTTCTTTAGGAAGATTGCTGATGTACTGGGCGTGGCCCACTCGTCTTCGGAAAACAGATCAGAATGTTGCTGATAGTAGTGGAGGAGGTCGTGCAGCATTGACTTATGCGGATGTTTAGTCTTGGTATGTATCTGATGATGAGGGACGGGTGGAATGAAGTCAACATAGCCTTCCTGAAAGGGTGCGTTCTCAAGTACGTCGCCTTTGTCGATTTCACGTAGCGTGTTGTCATCGGGATTGACTTCCTTGGGCGGAGGGTGTAGGTCAACCAGCTGGGGATCACACAATATTACCACTGCGTGAGTCAGCTAAGATCACTCAGACTTTTCCTTGCTGCTTTGTCTTCCGGTTCGGCATTGGGCTTCTAGTGCAGCAAGAGGTCTTCGAGGGAATAGGATCGAGAGTGTGGAAACCACGTACCATCCCAGCCGCCGTCCTCAGTCTTGCGAGACCACCAGCCGACTTTACGCCTTAGTATCCCGATCGTGCTATTCTCTTTTTGGCGGGATGCCGTCATGCCCACATGCCGTCTCGTCCGCTTGCAGAAGAAATAGCGATTTTCAAGCGCTTTGTTGAATTGCCGTAACTCGCAATACTGTAGTTGAAAAGCCTGCTGCGGGTCTAGCAAGCTGGGTTGGGGTAATGCATCGCTCACTGGTGTAAAGTCGTTGCTCCAGACACATGTCCTCTCTTGCCGCTGGAAGAATGAAGGATCCATGAAGAAGTGACCGCCGACGGCTGCGACAAAATCAGGTGCCAGACCCTCCATGATATAGATGCGCCGACGGTTGTGGTTGTGCCCCGCGGATTCAAAGTGCTTAACAAGCTCTTTCTCGCCTCTAAACTCAGTGGTTGTGAAACCAGATGCCCCAGTAGCAGCAGCGTCTAAGAGCGCGACGAGCGCGTTGCCAAATTTCAGTGGCTCATCCTTGTTGTTTGGATCGGCCTTCTTCAGGCCAGGATTGGATCCGCTCAAGGCCTCGATATAGTCGCGATATTTGCCTGCTCGAGATTAACGACACCTGCAAATGGCACTTGGACAAAACATCATCTACCATTAGCACAGAGCCACGATCCAATCGGCGGCTCTTCGTTCTTCAGCATGTTTGGGCTTGGTGTGACCGTTCTCGAAGTTGCAGCAACGGATGTTTTGGTAGCTTTTGGAGCCCCGGCGATAGTCGCCATCTCGACTGCGTTGACGCCGTTGTTGGCCATTGATGCAAATGTGCGTAGCGTGCCCAATGTCAGAGCCAGGACAAGATATTGGCTCTTGAGAAGCTGGCGAGCAACGCGTTGATGCTAAGGGGCCAGAGAGCGTTGTCGTGAATAAGACGGGATGAAGGAAGCGAGCCTTCGATTTTCCGCAGGGGCCGCGGCTCTGCATCGAGGCGGAGCTTTATCTGCATCAATTTGGGGGCCAGAATTGCGCCACGTCATCCGTGCATTCACAAAGTTCCGCTTGTGAACGCATGCTCAGGTCTTGTGTCTGTATCGCAGGCACATTGAGGCTGTGAAACGCGGCCGGTGAGTATTGGGAGGCGGGGAAAACCTGAGGCAGCCTGGGTAGTTCGCGTCGCTCGCCGCTGCGCATCTCCAGGCGTCATCGAAGTCTCTTCTTGATACGCATTGCTAAAGTCATGACAATATTTCTGCAGCGACGCTGTGGCTTGTCGCAGTTAATTACACAGTCGAGGCAGCACCTAGGACTAGACTAGGGTGGAATTTATCTCATAAATCAGACGCCCCGCAAAAAACCTCGCTTATAAGTTCTTGCAGCTTCTAAAAACTTCTTAGCTAATTATAAAGCTAGCGTATAAACTAAACTTCTTAGCTAATAAAAGCTAATTATATAATACTTATAGTAAGGCTTTTATAAAGTATCTAAGAAAAAATAGTAGAACTTTTAGTAAATAGATATTTTAAATTATAACTTTAGTAAAGTTTACCTATTAGCACTATAACACTACTATCTTACTTTATTATAGTATTAAATATAATAAAAAGTGTAAGTTCTTCTTAATACTATTATATTTATTAGGTCTAATTTATATATAGTATTAATAGAGAAGTATAGCGTTATAAAAGATAATATTTTAGCTCTTTAGTATAATTACGTTTTACTAATCTATCTACTATATTCTACTTACTTTATACTTATACTAAAACTTTTATAAAGCTTTATAAAGTTTTATAAAGCTTTATAACTTTTTATAAACTTTTATACTAGTTATAGTTATATCTACTATACGCGTTATATTATAGTATTATAGTATTATAGTATTACGTATAGTAGTACTATAGTACTCTAATAAAGATATTATAGTATTATAGAATACTATAAACTTTTATAAACTACTAGACTAATAGCTAGCTACTAAGGCTTATAGTAGGTAAATTAGCTACTAGCTATATAGTAGTAACTTTCTTAGACTTTTATAAACTTCTATAAAGTTCTTTAGACTACTAGTAACTTTTATAAACTTTTATAAAGTTTTTTAAACTACTAGTAACTTTTTATAGCTAGTTATTTTTATAAAGTAGCTATAGTAAAGTATAAGATAAAGTAAAAAATAAATAAATATAGTAGATAGTACTAGAGTTACACTATTACTACGCCTAAGTATATAGTAATTAGGTAAGCTACGCTTCTAATTAATTAACGTATTACTATAATTTTAGATATAGAATTAGAGAAACTTTCTCTACTAGTAGAGAATATAAAATAGAAATAATATATAGTATTATAAGAGTAGATTATTTAGTATTATCTAAGGCGTATACTATCTTATAGTTATAGTAGTAAGGCACTATAGTAGAGAGATTAGAAGTATCTCTATTAGAATAGGTACTTAATGTAGTTAATTGTATTCTGTGTGTGTGTTGTTCTTGTCTAAACGCTATTTAGACCTAGCTTTTCTTAGCGCACTAACTCTTAAGCTTAATAGCTGTTTAGCTTATTATTATATTACTAGTTTTACTACTATATCTCTTCTATACTTAAGAAGAAAGCCTTCTCTTTTTCTTAAGTACAAAAGAGAGAATAGCTCTTAAACATTCTCTTCTATCTATTATATTACTAGATTCTATCTACTTAATCTAAATATACTATGCGCTAAACTTCTACCTAGAAATCTAAATGCAAAATCTCTTTAGGCTATTTTTATTCTAGTATATTCTCTCTCTATTACTCTTCTTGTTTTAATTTAATCTCTTCTGCTAGCTTGTAGCCTCTTTCTTTATTTCTCTAGTGTATTCTAAACCTTGTCTTAATTACTTTTAATATTAGTAGCTAATAATTCTTTAGGCTTAGATCTATATCTTTCTTAGATTTAATCTTTACTTTTCTATAGCGCCTACCTATCTAGCGCTTAACTCTCTATAATATTAGCCTTTTCTTTAATAGATATTCTATTATCTCTAGTATATTACTAGTATATTTATAAAGATATTCTAGAAAGTTTATACGTACTGCACTACTATTATAATCTATACGCTAGTTGCTCTACCTTTTTACCTAAGAGCTTTTTAGCGCTTAGCAACTAGGCTATTAAAATAATAATATTATAACTTTTCTTCTTACGTATAGTAATTACTACTTTTAGCTCTGCCTTTGCGCGTGTAGCTTTTTACTATTCTCTCTCTATTTTCTTCTTTTCTTCTACTCTACTTTACCTTAACCTTCTTTCTCTACTATAGCTTTACTTAAGCGCTCTAAAGGCAAGTTAGCTACTACAGACACTATACTAGTTACTATATCTACCTCTTATACTTAAGAGCTTACTACTAAGCTAGCTATTATATCTAAGGCTAATAATAGCTCTACTACCTCTACTACTACACCTACTCTTAAGCTTACTATAGCTAAGTAAGCTACTACTATTACTACGCACGCGCTTGCGCTTTCTAAGCTAACTTCTACTAATAAGATAACTATTAAGCCTAAGGCTATAGATAATTCTACTACTATTACTACTTAGCCTATAACTAAGAGTGCTAGTAATAATACTACGCTATTGTTTTAACCTTTACGTACGCTTAAATAGCTATTAGCTAAACTTACTCTACTTACTCTACCTAAGACTACGCTTTTAATTAAAGCTAAGACTAGCGCTAGTGTTAGCTAAACTAATACTATTATAACTAACGTGTCTAATACTACTCTACTACTCTTCTCTATTTGCAACGTTAACTCTACTAGCTATTCTTAGCTTAAGTTAGCTCTTAAGTTCTTAATAAAAGCCTCTTAGACGCCTATATCTTGCCTTTCTAAGAAGTAGAAGAACTAGAGTAAGTCTCTACGCCTTTCTATCTTTACTCTAACTAAGACTATTAAAGAAAGTAGGCGTAGTATATGTATAGTAAAGTTATATAAGTACAAAACTTCTAACTCTAGTTGCAACTAGTATATTACCTAGCGTAAGTCTTTTCTCTTCTCTAGAGCCTTTTAACTAAACATTATTCTAATATCTTCTACTTTATTAGTAACTAACTAGAGAGCCTATATTATTACTCTTAGCTTTACTATAGATATACAGAATTACTTGTATACCTTACAAAGCGTAGAACGCATACTTAGGCTTTCTCTATCTATTCTAGCTACTAATTAGAAAAGCTATTAGTCTAATATATAGGTTAACACTTATAGCAACTTCTACTTAGCTAATCTAGAGATAACTATTAGTAAATTCTTTTAGTTAGATAATAAGTCTGCGCGCTAGCTATTTAACTCTAATATAGAGGTGCTTATACTATTTTATTACTTTAGCGCTAAGTTAGTTAGTGTAATTAATTCTTTAGTTAAGAATCTTTCTATTAAGATTATTATCTATAGTTAGTGTGCGTTATTAAATTATAGAAAGATGTTTAGCTAGTATATCTAGGTCTATATTAATAGCTAGCTAATAAAGAGTAAGGTTTACACTAATTACTTAAAGCATAGTAATTATTAGATCTACTCTTTTTATAGTAAGTTGCTTACTATTCTTTAGACACTTACTTTTTTATTTCTAGTATCTTTACTAATATATTCTTCTAGAGACCTAAGTAGTAAAGCGTAGCTTTAAGTCTACTATAGCTACTAAGTCTATAGTTACCTCTAATATAATTACTAGTCTCTCTAAGAGCGTTCTTACTTGTCTTAAGGCTAGTAAGAAGCTAACTACTATATCTAAAGAAAGTAATAAGGCCTTATTTGCCTAGACTAGCAATAGTATAGCTACTTAGTATAGATACTATTTAAGTAATATTAACGCTAGTTGTAACTTAGCTTTCTAACTAAGCCTAAAGAATCTTAGCTACAATTTGCCTAAGAAAGCTTCTAATACTAAGGCTGCTTCTACTTTTACTAGCGCGCGTTATGTTTAGTTATTATTACTACGCTTAAAGATTCTTAGTAAGAGTAATAACGCGTCTAGGTTAACTATCTCTAAGAGTTAGAGTTAACCTAAGAAGTCTAATTTATCTACTAGCTAGCCTGCTCTAGACGCTGCGCTTTCTATTAGACCTAATAGTAGTTTAGCTACTAGTGTTCTTAAGCCTATTACGCTAACTAGAAAACCTTATTATTGCGCTTTTTATACTGCTTCTTCTTCTGTCTAGGTTCTAGGTAGAGATTATAGTTAACCTTATAAGTAGCCTAAGCCTAAGAAGGCTATTACTAATAAGGCTAATACTATTAGTAATAATATTATTAAGTCTAAGGCTTCTGCTGTTACTACTTCTACTACTACTTCTACTAAAACTACTAAGCCTGTTTCTTCTTTAACTTCTACTAATTCTGTAACTTTTAGCTCTACTAGCTTTTCTATACACTAGTAGTTCTCTAGTTTCTTTTCTCTCTAATTAACTCTTAGGTCTATCTATTCTACTCTATAGTTATAGTAAATAAAATTATAATATACTTCTAAGTCTTCTCTTATTACCTTATATTCTTACGCCTATAATATTATAATAGCTAAACTTATATTACTTCTCTTCTACACTTAAAAGAAAGAAGGTCTCTTCTTCTTTAGTCTTAGGTTCTAAATATTATTTAGATATAATCTTTCTATTATAATATTCTTAGGTTTCTAGTAGCTATTGTAATAATATTAGATTCTAAGCTGTAATTAAGAAGTACTAATAGTAATTGCCTTAGCAGCCTTTATAATTATATAGAAGATTTTCTAATATCTTTCTAAATTAAAATAATCTTTCTATAAAGTTAAGATCTATTT